TCAGGCATGGAATAAAGGGAAACACCCCAAAATCAGGCATGGAATAAAGGGAAACACCCCAAAATCAGGCATGGAATAAAGGGAAACACCCCAAAGTCAAACATGGAATAAAGGGGGACAGCCCAAAATCAGGTATGGAATAAAGGGAGACACCCCAAAATCAGAAATTGATCAAAGGGAGACACCCCAAAATCAGACATGGAATAAAGGGAAACACCCCAAAATCAGACACGGAACAAGGGAGACACCCCAAAGTCAGGTATGGAATAAAGGCAGACACCCCAAAATCAGACATTGAATACAGGGGGACAGCCCAAAATCAGACACCGAACAGGGGGAGCACCCCAAAATCAGGCATGGAATAAAGGGAAACACCCCAAAGTCAAACATGGAATAAAGGGGGACAGCCCAAAATCAGACATGGAATAAAGGGAAACACCCCAAAATCAGACATTGAATATAGAAGGACACCCCAAAATCAGACATGGAATAAAGGGAAACACCCCAAAGTCAAACATGGAATAAAGGGGGACAGCCCAAAATCAGACATGGCAAAGGGGGACACCCCAAAATCAGCGTACAAATAAAGGGTCACAACCCGAAATCAGAGCATGGAACAAATGGGGGACACCTCAAAATCAGAGCTCAAATAAAGGGGGACACCCTAAAATCAGACATGGCAAATGGGGACACCCCCAAATCAGGGCACAAATAAAGGCAGACACTGAAAAACCAGACATGGAACAGGGGGGACACCCCGAAATCAGAGTTCAAATAAAGGGCACACCCCGAAATCAGAGCGTGGAACAAATGGGGGACACCTCAAAATCAGAGCTCAAATAAAGGGGCACACCCTAAAATCAGAGCATGAAACAAATAGGGGACACCCCAAAATCAGAAATGGAACAAGGTAGGAGGAACCCCAAATCAGCCCCTGCCCCAAAGGAGGAGGGGCTGGGGATCCCCAGGGACCCCAAATTCCATCCCAGGGACCCCAAATCCCACCCCAGGGCCCCTCAATCCCCCGCACTTCCTAAAAACTTCCCAAAATTCACCCCAAACCACCCAGCCCTGCCCCAGGGACCCCCAAAATCCCCAAATTTCCTCCCAAACCCCCCCCTCCATGGACCCCCCCAAACCTTTGGGGCTCCAGGGGGCGTCGTCCGTCACTTTCTTCTTTTTGGGGAGCGATTTTAGGGCGGGATCATCCTCGTCCGACTCCAGCGAGGGGTAAACTGGGGTGGGGGATAGAAAAAATGGGGTTCAGGGTGATCCTGGGGGGTCCTGGGGGCAGGAAAAGGGGAGTTCAGGACGATTCCACCACGGCCTGGGAGTGTTTTTGGGCTGTTCTGAGGTAATTTTGGGGGTTTTTAGGGTGTTTTGGGGCATTTCTTGGATATTTTGTGTGCTTTGGGGTGCTTTTGGGAATATTTTTAGGATGTTTTTGGGGTCACACTCACTGTACTCAATGTCCTTGAAGCAGGGTGGTTTTGGGGTGGTTTTGGGGTGTTTTTTGGGGTCACACTCACTGTACTCAGCGTCCTTGAAGCAGGGTGGTTTTGGTGTGGTTTTGGGGTGGTTTTTGGGGTCACACTCACTGTACTCAGCATCCTTGAAGCAGGGTGGTTTTGGGGTGGTTTTGGGGTGGTTTTTGGGGTGGTTTTGGGGTGGTTTTTGGGGTCACGCTCACTGTGCTCAGCATCCTTGAAGCAGGGTGGTTTTGGGGTGGTTTTCGGGTGGTTTTTGGGGTGGTTTTGGGGTGGTTTTTGGGGTGGTTTTTGGGGTGGTTTTTGGGGTCACACTCACTGTACTCAGCATCCTTGAAGCAGGGTGGTTTTGGGGTGGTTTTGGGGTGGTTTTTGGGGTGTTTTTGGGGTGGTTTTTGGGGTCACACTGACTGTGCTCAGCATCCTTGAAGCAGGGTGGTTTTGGGGTGTTTTTGGGGTGGTTTTTGGGGTGGTTTTTGGGGTCACACTCACTGTACTCAGCATCCTTGAAGCAGGGTGGTTTTGGGGTGGTTTTTGGGGTCACACTCACTGTACTCAGCGTCCTTGAAGCAGGGTGGTTTTGGGGTGGTTTTGGGGTGTTTTTGGGGTGGTTTTTGGGGTGGTTTTTGGGGTCACACTCACTGTACTCAGCGTCCTTGAAGCAGGCCCCCAGGCTGTCCTGCTCGTCCAGGCTCCCCTCGGCCTCGCTGTCGGTGCTCCGGGGGGCTGGGGGGGCTCTGCGGGGCCCCCCAGACCCCCCAGGACCCCCCCTTTCGGTCCCCCCGCCCCCTCCCCACCAGTTTGGGGGTCCCAGGGGGGTCCCCGCGGGCAGGTTGGCCATGCAGAGCATGCCCTGGATGGCCTCGCGCGTGCTGGGGGAGGCGGGGGCCTCGCTGGGGGGGAAAAAAGGGGAAAAAAAGGGAAAAATGGGGGTTTAGGGGGGGGTCATGGCACAGTTGGGACCCTCAAATTGAGGAGAGACAGCCCCAAAAGGAGATGGAGAGGGGCAAAGTGAGCCCTGCCACAGAAATGCCCCCCAGAACTCCCCAGGAACCTCAAATAGCCCCAAAACTCCAACTCCTCACCCCAAATAACCCCCGGGAACCCCAAAACCCAACCTGGGACTCCAAAAAACCCTAAACCCCAACTCCTGACCTCAAATAACCCCCGGGAACCCCAAAACCCAAGCCAGGACTCCAAATAACCCAAAACCCCAACTCCTGACCCCAAATAACCCCCAGGAACCCTCAAAAGCCAAACCCCAGCCCCCCCAAAAGCACCTGGTGCCCCCCACCCAAGCCCCCCCAGATATCTGTGGACCCCCAAAATCAGCCCAGCACCCCCTTTAAGCTCCCCAGGGGACCCCAAAACCCAACCCCAGCCCTCCCAAAACATTTGGGGAGCCCCCAAAACCCCCCTCAAATCCTTCCCCCATCCCTGGGAACCCCCAAATCCAGCCCAGCTCCCACTCCAAGTCCCCCAGGGGCCCCCAATGATCCCAAATAACCCCCAGGGACCCCCAAAACCAAACCCTAGCCTCACAGGTGCCCCCCAAAATCCCCCTGGGATCCCTCCCAGACCCCTCAAAACCCAGTCCAACCCCCCCAGACCCCCCCAAACCTGAGCTGGGGGTACTCGGAGCCCCCCACTTGCCGGCTGGCCTTGAGCAGGTCCAGGATCCCGGCGCTGCCCCCAGCGCCCCCTTCATCCTCCTCGTCCGTGGTGTAATCCTCCTGGGGATCAGGGAGTCAGAAACAGCCCAAAAACACCCCAAAATACCCCAAAAACCACCCCAGTCTGTGGTGTAATTCTCCTGGGGGGGCAGGGAGTCAGAAAAATCCCAAAAACACATAAAATACCCCAAAAAACACCTTAGTCTGTGGTGTAACCCTCCTGGGGAGCAAGGCATCAGAAATATCCAAAAATACCCAAAACCACCTCAGAAATACAAAAAACAACCCCAGTTTGTGGTGTACTCCTCCTGGGGGGGAAAAGTCAGAGACATCCCCCCAAAACCCCATTTTTCGGGTGCCCTCCAATCTCCATTTTCAGGGTGCCCCCCAAAACCCCCCCAAGGACATCCCCAGTTCCCTTAAACCCCCCTGAGACTCCCCCAAAATCCCCCCAAAACCCCCCTAAGAGCCCCCCAGGATCCTCTCAGCTCCCTTAACCACCCCAAAACCCCCCAGAGCCCCCCAAAACCCCCCGGGGTCACCCCGAGACCCACCTCGATGTCGAAGTCGACCTCTCCTGGCTCCCGCACGCGGTTGGGATCCGAGCAGGGCTTGGCCCGGGGCAGCTTCCGGGGGAGCCCTGGGGACACCCCAAAAATGGGATTGGGGTCACCCCAAAAATGGGATTGGGGACACCCCAAAATGGGACTGGGGACACTCCAAAAATGGGATTGGGCTCACCCCAAAAAGGGATTGGGGACACCCCAAAAATGGGATTGGGGTCACCCCAAAAATGGGATTGGGGTCACTCCAAAAATGGGACTGGGGACACTCCAAAAATGGGACTGGGGTCACCCCAAAAACGGGATTGGGGTCACCCCAAAAAGGGATTGGGGTCACCCCAAAAATGGGACTGGGGACACTCCAAAAATGGGATTGGGCTCACCCCAAAAAGGGATTGGGGACACCCCAAAAAGGGATTGGGGACACCCCAAAAATGGGATTAGGGTCACTCCAAAAATGGGATTGGGGTCACCCCAAAAATGGGACTGGGGTCACTCCAAAAACCAGGATTGGGGTCACCCCAAAAATGGGATTCGGATCAGCCCAAAAACTGGGATTAGGGTCACCCTAAAAAACAGGGACTAGGGTCACAGCCCCAAAATGGGGATTGGGGTAACCCCAAAATGGGGATTGGGGGAACACCTCAGAAATGGGGGTTGGGGTCAGACCCCAAAAATGAGGGTTTAGGGGGGATTGGGGGCATTTTGGGGATGTTTTGGGTCAGGTTTGGGGCTAGGTTTTGAGGGGGTTTGGGGGTGTTTTAGTGTCAGGTTTGGGGTGGTTCTGGGGGCAGGTCTGGGGCCGGTTTTGGAGATG